TTTTACACTACCACAAATCTGTTAATTAATCATAATAATAATAATTTATTCTCAAGTAACAACATGTTCCATGAAGCATGCCAATTGACAGGCAAGATAAAAATGTTGAAATTGCTAACATATTTTCTATAACAGGTTTTTCATGTACTTAAGTATTTCATAACATACATTGGCTTCACATAGATGGCTAATATTTTCCACATAAAATTATGGATAATTTTTCAAACTCCCCAACGTCCAATGCGATAACTGGCGCGAGTTACGACAATCAAGTTATGACGAACCACTAATGGCTGAGAACCAATACAAGGTAAATCCAGGTCTGCATATAACAAGAACTGAAGAGGTGAATGTGCAGAGATCTTGTTCATATTCGTCAGATAATAAATCTACAGACTCCTAGGAAAGTAACCAAGTCTTCGTTGCGTTACGATGAACTGCGAAACAATCCAAGCTCTGTAGCTCAAAAAGTCATGAGTGAGCTGTTGTTCAGTATCATTGGACAGATCTGCTTGTAATAGGATTTTTTGGTAGGAAGTTAAAACATGAGTCGTAGACGGGGTTATCCAACTGAACAACCTTTTACAGAAAATATGTTAGCAGTTTTAACATTTTGATCTTGCCAGTCAATTGGCGTGACTCTTGTGACATGTTGTTATTTGAGAATAAATTATTATTATCATTATTTCCAGAGTATGACTAGGTGCTGAAAAAGAGAAATAAAGAGAAATGGGCGAAGAGCTGAACAGAAAAAATTCTTGTTTAAAGCTAACTCATGACTCAGAAGATAATAGTTTTGGATAAAGAATCTGATACAATATGAAAGGATTCGATGATAGAAAACAACGAACTAGACGGCGAAACCGATCAATGTATACAACTACTGGGTGAATGAGCATCATCAGGTGTCGATAATAATCGCTTATTGATACTTGTAGATTTATTTCGACAGTGGCCGTCCCAATTGGTTCCAATAGAAGCACTCCTGTACGCTTTTCCTAGTCCCGGGTCCCAATCAATTCAAAAAAGGACAAAATTCTAGGAGAAAACGTCTCTGTATTTAGTTAGGAAATGGAAATACAAAGCCTTACGGAAATTGTGTTTCTTCCAGGGTTAAGTTACTCCGCAGAGTATCCGACACAATAACCAATAAGTGAAGCTAAGTCCAGCAGCCACTGCGTCCGTCCGAAAATGTGGCGGTAGCCATATTATATCAAATTTAAACAATATATGTACAGTTCAGAAGCAAACACAAAAACTTCAATATAAGTACAAAATATAGAAAGAATAACAATATACAATGATAAAATCTCAAATTGGAATCAAATAAAGTACCAAAAATGTCAACAGAAAAAGTCCGTCATATCATAGCAAAAATATGTAAACATGGAGGGATTTTCCAAAACACAAAACATTCAAAAAGAATTCTACAATACTATCAATGGTCTTGAATATTTAATCGCACTGATTCACTTTGGACGGCAGTCATTTCTCCGTTTTCAGAGGGCTATTAGTTCGAGAGGTTGGAGGTGGAGACCAGTGAAGAGTGTGGAACAAATACAAGTTCAGACTAGTTTAAAGCCTATATTGTATTTCAGACGTTAATTCGCCTGACGATAGATATGAAGCTGTAATTCGAGTATTCATCCACGTTGTGACCGTTGTTAAATAAATACATTTGGCTTCCGTCTAAATTCGCTTCTGGTGTAGACTATTTGTGTCGTCGTTAGGTGGATCATAATTTTGATAGAAGAGTGAGAATACGTAATAGATCTGAAAAATTTGATGTATTTGCGCTAAACATTTCGAACAATCTGGTCACACATATTTACTTGTCAAGGCATTTTATATGAAGATAAATTAAGTAAAAGTTCAAATAGAAATAAAGTGACAACTGTAAATCAAGGAGAGAGGAAATTAACGTGATATGAAAAGAATAAGATGGGGTAGGAAAATTGTCACATTATCCTAGGCAGGGTAAATTCAAGGTTGTTCGAAATCAGATCAATTAATTCTTCTCACTGTTTTATCAAAATTTATAAAAGGGACTAGTTGTATTTGATCTAAATTTACTTGCTTTAGATTGGTTCGGGTCAATGGGATGATACATATATGTGCTGACTTCTCTACAGGTCTCAATAAAGCTCTGGAACAGCATCATTATCCTCTGCCGGTCCCCGCAGGTCTGTTTACAATGATGAAGGCGGGAAATTTCTACGCAAAGCTCGATCTAGCTGATGCTTATTTGCAAGCGGAAGTACATGAAGCATCAAAAGAGCTGCTTACTATCAATACTCGTCGTGGTTTGTTCCAGTATAACCGTCTACCTTTTGGAGTTAAGACTGCCCCATCTATCTTCCAACAACTAATGGATACTATCCTGTCAGATATCTCAGGGGTTGCAGCTTATCTCGATGATATCTTGATTGTTGCGAAGACGTTAGAACAGCTACGGGAACGCACGACATTGGTACTACAACGTATCAGTAACAACGGTTTCCGGTTACGCCCAGAGTAATGCCAGTCAGTAAAGTATTTGGGATTCATCTTTGATGCCGATGGTAGCAGAACATTTTGTTTGCTTTCGGCTCTTTAGATTGATGAGACGACTAATCAGTAACACTGAGGTTGCTCTTATACGCTTGCTACTTCTGTGGTTCATGTTTCCAAAACTATGCTGAGGTCGCTATTCTGTCGAGACACCTGCAACATTCTTACTCAGGCGCTTACAGTATGACTTAGAGGTTGGCATTCAATAATAATAAAAAAAACAGTTAGACAGTGCGAGATTTTATTCGTCAAATATTTATTTTTACAAACTCTACTCTTTTAACTAGAATTTCGATTTCAACGTACATAAATCCAGCTTCTTACTTCGACTTCTCTTCTGTCCACCTGACACTGCACAACTCTCCCTTCTTTTTGCTGTACTCCTTTATCTGTGTGTTATATTCTTATATTCCCATAATTTACTTTAATTTAAGTGGTCAGTATGAATGTTATCTTGACTTACTACTGTATTGACTACTTTAACATGACAGGTTAAGTAGTGCTTTGGTTATATATATACACTTGCCACACTGCTGCCTTTTCCTCTCTCTCTTCTCCTTTTCAGAACCCCATTCACGGTGGGAAATCCTTGGCAACTCTAGGGAACATGCACCCAATGTACATGACTGTCTGGATCACAGCTCGTATCAAGCGCGTTCCATATGACCTTTCCCAACAAATTCACTATTGATCTCGGCAAATCGCCAATAGAACCTATTGTGCACCTTTCTCATTTGTACTCTAATATTGAAAATGTGGCTGTATAATACTGTCTCTGTCAGTGATATGGTGTAAATATGCAATCAGAAACTGTCTCTTATACTTAATTTAACTGCTATAACTTTTACAGTAATTGTGAAAGCATTTGTGACAATTTGATCTAGCCTGTAAACTGGCGTGTCTCTTGTAACTTAGTTATTTGAGAATAAATTATTATTATTATTATTATCTCAATGATATTTTATTTGTTGCGAAGACATTAGAACAACTACGGGAACGCACGACATTGGTACTACAACATATCAGTAACAACGGTTTCCGGTTACGCCCAGAGAAATGCCAGTCAGTAAAGTATTTGGGATTCATCTTTGATGCCGATGGTAGCAGACCGCATCCTCAGAACATCCGAGCTATCAAACTGATGCCCACTCCCACAAATGTCTCGGAATTATCTCAAAGTTACATACAATATTTTATAGACAGTCCATAAACTTCAACAGACTGACACACTCGTGACATGCTACTTGCGAAAATGCTGTTCCCAAAACAGTTTAGAATCTAGATCTTGCAGAATGACATAACATCAATCAACCTATCATTTTAGAAGAGCCCAATATCCAGGGTGAGATTGCCTACCAAACAAAAAGGGTATTGGGGGCGATAATTTCGACTTACTCACATTTGTAGTGCAGAACATTGAATCCGTTTCTGACTGTTTACAGTAAAGTTGAATCAACTATTCCACCATGTTTTCAGTCCTAGATTGACTTCACCATTCTACTACAACGGTCTACTGTATGAGACTTCCAAGCCTACCGTCGAGGTACCAGTTTATGCATCTTAGAAGCTCCATGTATACTTTGCGCTTATGTAAACTAATCATCTATGGAGGTAGATGAATCCTCGAAATAAAGTTCCACAGGTTTGTTAAGTAGATCTTGACGCTGTTACTGGGTACTTCCTAGCTGAAGGCGCCCAATCAAGCCTGAGTGACAGATCTCCATTGGATAACTCATACTACGCAGCCCTCGAAACTAACTAGCCAGGCATAATCATGAACCTCTCAATGCAGTGACTATCTTCCATTGATATTTTTTGGATCTCCCCGAAGAATCGTGAACAGAGGCATTTTCGCAAAACAGTGAATACTGCCCAACCTGCTTTATAACTTTACCCTGGTAACTTGTGGAATACAAAAGGAACACAAGGGTAAGGTACACTCGTACGTACACTCGTACGATCAGGTAATATACTGAACTAAAGGAGGAATTTTGAACAAAATATGAAAGAAATCAGGTTAATACATGTTCTAGCGTGTCGGTGGTGGGAATCCGCTAGTTTTGGAGTTCCTAACTTGCGCAGGTAGTGAAGGAACCTACATCTAAATGCTTCAGATTTATCTCTCTTCTGTAAAAAAAAAGAAAGATTACTTCAAGTACTTCCCAAATATTATTCACCCATTATTAGTGAATGCTTCTGCCCTTCAAATGTAGTAAAGCAGATAATTAAAATTATTTGTAACTGAGAACTCCCTCTTACCATCCAAAAGCAGTTTTCATCCAGACACTTCTCCGTTAATATCAAGAAAAGTCTGAATTCTGATTTATGCGAATACCAAATACAGGAACTGTACAGCAACAACAAGGAGCAAGCTCAAACAAATCAACTAGTTTATGGTAGCTCGAGGAACGAAATTGCATATTGGAACCTGTCGCGGTATAATTGGATGCATGCGTTGCAGTGTGTTTCTTTTGCTGCTTTTGGCGAGCTCCGATGCTTTCCCGTTTATCACACTTGTTCCTTTCTCGGTAGCAATAACGGGAGTTATATACAAATACAGTTTAAAATGTCTCTTGTATGAATGTTGTTCTTCAGCTGTTTACTTCAACAAGACAAGTAGGCTCCCATATTCTTATTTTCAGATTTGGAACGATCGCTTTCAGATGAATTGCATGGCCAGCATATCGCAGCTGAGCGTGTATATCATCATTTAGTAGATCATATATCTGGTGGCTTACCACAGAAACCCCTAGCATTATCATTCCATGGCTACACGGGTGTTGGGAAAAATTTTGTGTCAAATATAATCGTGAATAACGTTTTGAAATTGGGAACACGGAGTCGTTTTTACCATTTCTATGATGCGGCTATACACTTCAAACACGCCTCTCATATTTCTGAGTATAAGGTTAGTTTTTAAATGATGGTGACCACGTAAAATCCGTCATTTTTTATAACGACTTAAAAGCAAACAAAAGTGCAAATAAGCACCTAAATGTTTATGCGCCATGCAAATCAGTGGATTTGTGTGTTTAGGCAGATATCTAGTTGCCAAACCGAAGCAGGTTGTTTTCGTAGAGGGCCACTCTGAGCCTCTGATTAAAACCATGATCCATCGGGCAATGGAGTAACGTCGGGAGTTTTAGTCCCATAGTAGCCGGTGACCAACAATATGTTCATACGCTGTTTGCTACCTCTGGAATTTAGGCCAATATGCATCAAAGGTTTGTAATCACGGTTTTCCAACTACCGTTGGTAGATCCTCCGTACCCACCAAGCAAGTTTAGACACCACACACTCGCTATTCATTCCCTCAACTTCTTATAAAACACTCCTGCTTTGGGAAAGTCATTGTTGAGACTCCCTCGTCAGTGGTCCTATATGCGCGGTTATATGATAGCATTTCAAGAGCGATAAAGAACTCCCCACTGTCGTATCAGGACATTTGGGTGTTAACATCATCAAGAAAATGAAATACATTACACCAATCTTTCTCTGTTTTATGTCAGTTGGGTATTTAGCTTTAATATTTTGGCCGGCCTCATTTGATTCATCACTCATGCCTTGTGTACATTTTTGATTTCGTTCGCAACGAGAGGGCATCACTAACGCTTTTTGAAAAACAAGTTATATTCATCGTTTTCCTGGGTTTTGTTCTCTTAAGTACTCTAAAATCTAAAACCATTATCGCTAATATATGACTTTTTGTTACCCGTATCCAAGTTACCCACATTCAGTCAGGATTTTCTGTAGTTTGAATTTGAGACACTATTTTACACGATCTCGAGCACTGACTATGCTGTGACAAAGAAGATACTCATTGGCTATTACCCTTATTCAAAACTATATACCAGCAGATTATTTTGGGGTATTTGTTTCATTCAGATTTCGAGGAGGCTGAAAGGTAAGATTAATTGAATTTCAGTAAGCATATGACTCTGATTAACATGGATTCCGTTATTTTTCGGTTCCAGGAACGCCTTTATCGAGATTTACATACAGCTGTTTCCGAGTGCCCTACATCAATATTTGTTTTTGATGAAATGCATAACATGCCTCATGGAATATTGGATATATTGTCACCATTTTTAGAGGTTCGTGAATCAGTTGAGGGTGTCGATTTTAGAAAGTCAATATTTATCTTTTTGAGGTATGTGAAAGTGTATTCGCTAAGTTCTATTCAGTATGTTCTATGCTTCCCGATCAATGCTCTTATAGTGAGGTTATGTAAAATTTAACTTCAATTCTGAATAAATCTAGTGGATAATTGAGTGTCTTAGACTTCATTTTCTGCTGTGATTAATTGCTGTTTTCTCCCATCCGTATTTACTTTGTTTAGTTGCGGTTTCGTGTATCTGCGTAAACCTACAGGTTATAAAATGTTAGCGGTAATTAAAAACACGAGGCAAATTCATAGAATATTTTACTGTTCACTTCGTCAACTTGGAGGATGTAAAAGTATTCGTTTCGGCTAAAAATGACGGAAGTCAATATTTGAGTCCCCTAGATGACATGTCTGAAGTCCATGCAGAATTATCCAGATAGACCCGTTTATATCGTTATGAATCGTAAGCATCTTACTACCCCACATGTCAGTTCCAGGGCTTATTTTTGTCTTTTGATTTTTGTCTGGCTTTACTTGTGCTGTCGTGAAGTGTAACAGCTTAAGCTAATGCAATTCGTTCAAAGTTTACCGTTGTTGTGTCACTAGACCCTTGGTTTTGTGAATTACTAACTTAAAATAGTTGTTTTTGCAATATGGTGTACCATAACTATAGAGCCTTAATTCGATCACTCGTATTTTCATAAGTCTGACAATTATTTATCATGTATTTATACATAATTTGATTCAAAGAATGGTTCTATTGTCCCATGTACTGCACGTGTTTAAATCTACCTTTTTTTTATTAAACTAGCAACGCTGGTGGTAATTATATCAATCGACGTACATATGAACATTTAGTTAGCGGGAAGAAACGAGAAGATTTGCGCTATACAGATGTTGATCGTGTTTTAGCTAAATCAGCATTTAATAATGAAGGTAAATGTTAATTTTGTTTTTCTTTGTTGCAGTTTGTGGCTCCAGTATATCTAAATGTCAAATGATTGGATACTATCAGTAGGAAGCATGTTGTCACATATCAGTACTAGAAACCTCAAGATAATTCATAATACTTAAAATACTTGAACTAGCACCACTAATATCTACAGTTAGAGATTAATTAATCCGTCATTTAAAGACAGCCACTAAACCATTCGTGCCTGTAAAATCATTTCATTACTGAAAAACATCGCATCTTTTCTTAATCAGTCAATAATTCGGTATTCATTTAGAATAAGTTGTACTGTTAAGATATTTGTATTGAGGCATTCAGAGCACTAAACTTTCGTTGATCTTTTTTAAGTGATAGACTTATTTATCCCGGATGCAGTCAAGGATATTGTACTAACTGGAGACCTGAACACACAGGTTCAGTGTCTAGGAACAAAGGAGAGCCGTCTGGACGGCTAGTGGGGACTCGTTGGTCAGAGGTCAGATAATGGCGACCGTCTCCTGAAGCCTTGAACAGATTACAACCTGTTTCTGGATAGCACTAACTATTGGTACATTCATCGCTGACGTGCTACCTGGCGCCATTTTTTCGCACCAAGTCATTATTTGCACTAGTCTTATCTCACGTTTCATTGACCAACAAGTTCATCGTCCTAAACGGATGTGTGAGCAAACTGGACTGTTCTCCGAGTCTGTTTATTAAAGGATGTATCTGAGAAGCTTATTAACACCTTGGAAGCCCTATATACAAACACCTCAAGCAGAGTAAATACATACAATCACCTCTCCATTATTACATTTAAGCAGTGGTGTTAAGTAGGGTTGTTTGATCTCACCGGTCTTCTTCAATTTTCTATCGATGATGTCTTGGAAACAGTGCTTATGGACTTGGATAATGGTGCTGAGGGTTTGTTACTAGGAGAAAATCTCTGATCTTAAGTATGTGGATGATATTACTGTGCGATTGCGCTCAAGCTATGCAGATTGTACTTGGTGAGGTGGCATTCAGTATCCCTAGGTATGGCATGTACTCTGCACCTCCTTGATGAAGGACTAACAAGAAGCTGTGGGTTCATTCCTTAACCCTCCTCAAATTTCAGGTTGTTATTTCTAACTTTCCCTTCCTCGATGTTATTCGTTGTTTTCGAACTGTATTTCTCCCGATTAGATTTTAATTAAAGTTGATACTACTTCTGTTTTACTTTACTTTACTTTGTTAACTCTCCCATTTATTGTAGTGGATATGAGGTTTAAGAACTTGAAGCAACATACTTATATATGATTTTGAAGATAATCGTTTCACAAAAATTTATGATAGTCTCTAGTTGCTAAAACAGAAGTATATTACGTGTAGGATTTGAATCAGTTATCTAGTAATTCCGATTTCACTCTAAGATAAATAATTTGTACGATTTATCTCAGTCAGTCAGATGCAACGTAGAACTTCGTACGTAAGTACAACAGTTCATGTCGCCATACCACATCAGCACAGAGATGTCATTGTCAATTCAAATCCAATAGTAGAAGAGGTAGTAAAGGTATTAGGAGTAATCGGAGAGGTTAGGATTAGAAGGTATTATTCAAGAAATATGATTTAATGAGAAAAGTTTAGAAAGTGAAAACTAGAGTTGTTGAAGAACCCAGAAGATTAGTATTTGAGAGAACACAAAGCATAAATGCACCGGCGCCATTGCAAACGATTTTGAGCCATGTCATTCAAGGTCTCTAACCATCGATTATTATCATCTCGCGGACCCCAACCAGGTAGGTAGTCGACAATTACCGACATGGCTAAGTCCACTCGTCAATGACTTCATGGATTTCTGCCATATTTTGGTTTGGCCGCCCCTCACTTTCTTCCGACTTATTCCTACACTACAAAACAAAGCTCGACGAGGCAGTCGGTGGTTAGGCATACGCAACACATGTCCCAACCACCTCAACTGATGAAGTGTCACTACTGCGTCTATTGATCTGCCATTCTTACTTACCTAGCACCCGATAGGATTTATCTATGAGGCTTTTTTTAAAACCTTATCATTTTAACGTTTAGATTTAGTTTTTTATAAAATAAAACATATAAACAGAACATATCAGTTGAAAACCGAATGACTAGTTAGATAAACTGAAGGTTTTTAATGTGGAATATATAACTAAGCAAGTGAATCAGTTTGTGTATAAATTTCACATTTGTGTTAACCAATCAAATCCGCCTATTTACTCTTCGGTTCTTCGTTCTAATAGCTAGTTAGGTTCTCGGATAAAAAGCGTATATACTAGTATCAGACTTGGATAACTTCTTTGCACAACCATCATATTTATTTATCATCAAACTAATAAATTTAACTTAAACTTAATCAAGTTACATCTGAGATATATGAAAGTAATGAATAAAATTCATTAATCTGTCAAATAACAAACCAATTGTATTAAATTCTTAATTATCTGTTTCTTTTTACTTGACTTTCATACTTCTATGGAATAGTTAATTCCGCTAAATTTTTTTTACGACAAATCTCTGCTCCGTTTTCGCTAACAACACAGTACGGTAGTTCTTAGAGTCGAACAGTGATTTACGAGATTGTGAAGTATTCGGCTTCCAAGTACTAGATTATAAATTCAAATTCTCTAACCCTTTACTTCAGTTGGGGCGGCAAAGCCATAGTATTTCTCGTTAAGCAAAAGTTTCCCTATGATTCAAAGCAGAGCATGTAAATATGTATTTGATAAATGACGTTACATTTTATTTTGTCCTTGTTATCATAGGTGGCCTTCAATACTCTGAGCTAATCACCAAACATTTGATCACAGCTGTTATCCCATTCTTACCATTGCAACCAACTCATGTTAGAAAATGTATTCAAGATGTTGCCAAACGACGTAATGTCACATTTTCTGAAGATATGGTTCAATTTGTACTAGATGAACTTGAATGGTCACCGGAAGGGAGCAGGTTTTTCTCTGTTTCCGGATGTAAAAGAGTCTATGAAAAAGTTGGATTCTATTTACAACAATTGTAAAATTTGTCATTTTTTGACACTGCTACCTTGTAAATACTTTTATATTCTATGATATGTGCTATGTATTTTTCCATTCTTCACTTTGTCAAGATTTTTGTCTGCTACTTTTATGTATTATGTGACATTGTCAAATTTATCTAAACATTTTCTTCTAGTCTTAGAGATTTATAATCTCATCTTAAATTCTTCACTGAATCTTTTTACTCATGTAATTTGTATTGGTGAAATAGACAGTGTGATTAGATTTGGACAAATGATTTGGTTATGTTTTTTTATTAAGCATGTTAGTAATTTTGAAACTAGATAACATTTTATTTTGGAATTCTTTATGTTTATGGTAACAATCAATACTTCGAGTACTGATAATTATGTGAATGGTTATGTAGGACATAAAAGTGATAATCATACATGTTTGGTTTCTGTTGTTTGTTAGCTTGCTGATTCAGCTCAACAGTGATCCGAAATTTACCATATCTGTTAAATGCTAAACGATTGTAAGATGTAGGTATTTTCGTGATGATCATTTTTGAAATTAATAGCTAAATTACTAACATTTATGACTAGAACAAGTCAACTACATGCAGACATTATTTTATGATCAATGAAAATCTTCAAAACAAGAAATCCATATTTATAGTGCATATTACCAAGAATTGATATTCACTTGGTAACTCTCCCGTCCCTTCGTCACTGAGATTAGAAATAACTCAGTTTCATCATAACTGTGACAACATACTTATTGGTGTGGGATTGTGATGATTAAATTTTAGATCAGGTTCCAACAACCATTGGGAACTGGACGACCGTCTCGCTCTAGTATAAGATCTCTCGGCAGGGCTCACCCACGACTCCGCAACTAAGGACTGAACTTTGAAATTCTACATGCGCGTTGATGATCAACCTCTAGACCATGACCGGTATCCGGCGGTGTACACGCCTAATTTTGGTCTGTCCACGATTATGCACTACTGTCTCCTATGGTCTTCGGAGGGTAACTTCCTCACACCCGACACTGCGGAATTCACGCTATACCGCAGGCGTAATTGCATTGATTTGATAAAGATTCCGCGTGTTCATCAAGTTCTTTTCATGGATTAGATTGTTGAATATTTGATAAGAATATATTCAACTCAATCGATTACTTGTATTGATAGAATTTCAACAAATTGATGTTAACCTTTTATTTACTCGAGTTATCAAGAGTTTTAATGGCAGACGATATGAGGTTTGCTTTATCACGCTATATATTAAGGGACGGTCAAGCAAGCCTTTCATTTATGTTCATTCGTGTAAGAAAATTTTAGTAATACCGGACAACCCATGTGTTTTGACAGTACTGAACTGTTGTTATACTGTTACTGTATGAATGAGTTTGATTAAATTTAACATAAATAATCGGCAGACCGTTTCTAAAGAAACGCAAGCAAAGGAAGTACTAATAGTAGAGAATTGTCCACGATTTTTACCGATACAATATTATTCTTGGTTATCTTAAGACGAGTGCATGTACTAAAAAATATCTGTATTATTACAGTGTAATATTTAGTTAGATATGTTATTTTTAACATTACGTGAATCGACGACACTTGGATTTGACCATTAATCCGTGAAAAAGTGTTATATATAAAGTCGTTAGTTTTATGCGACATGGATCGTTTGGACAGATCAGTTGTCCAGACTGACCTTTCGTACATCAATGTGCATTGTATATCCTTCGTGCATAGATCCTTTTTTTATGCCTAAACAATGTTTATCAACATCAATCAGGATCTGGCCAGTTTTTGCTCCATTTACTAATACATCTACCATTCAAAATTCACACAATTTTCAAACGGCTTATTAATTTAACGAGGCTCTCCTCTGACGTTTAAAAATTTGCTCGATTCTGTCACATGACAGTCTCGTTTAATATGAGGCTAGGTAAGATTCTGTATTCTCTACAAATATATATCTAAAGTCAATCCCAGACTTCCGAAGCAATACATCCGTGATCTTCTGTGCATTTACGGAAAACTTACTATTTAACTCTGGTTACATTATGATGTTGTGTGTTTAGAAAGTTTGTTAACCGCTGCTACTTATCTTCTCTCTGTAAAACACACTGACTAGAAATGGATAATTCTGATGGGGTGGACTTCGATGCCAATCACGTTAAGGCTCGGACCGATAGGGGTTACTGTATTCACAGCCGTCTTAATTTCTGAGATCGTTCCGCTGTACCGAACCCCACGTTCAACGAGCCCGCTCGCGACCTAAAAAGGCTGAAAGTACTCGCCCCCCAGTGGGTATCCTCCAAGCCACGCCATAAGTCAGCTTTCGAAGCGAGTACCGCTTGGTGCTGGTTCCACCAGACTTTTAAGTCTGGCGCCCGTCACTGTCAAGCCCCCTGCTCATACAAGGCGGGAAACTTCAAAGCCGACGAGTAAACGCGGCCGTACTCGTCGGCCCCTCACCTCAGGTTGGCCGCCTATTTTACGTGCACGATATCCGCACTGACGCTAGGTACCTCGTTGACTCAGGTGCGCAAGTTTCTGTCGTACTACTAGGTAGCAGCAAGTCTCAACCTATGATGCTTCGGCTACGCGCTGCGAATGGCTCTGTCATTCCTACCTATGGTACAAGACAACCAACGGTCAACCTGAGCGACCGACGACAGTATCTGTGGATGTTCATACAGCCATACTCGGTATCGATTTCCCACAGCACTATAAATTACAAGTCCATTCACGAAGTCTGCAGCTAATCGATACTCGTCGAACAGTAAATTAATGGGCTTCAAAGCTCAAAACGAATGCGTACCGATTCACAGGCGTGTTTCGTTCGCGTGACGATATATTCAAAGCTGTACCCGAAAAATTTCCTCAGCTAACTAAATCACTCGAGGAGAATCTATCGTCGACTCATCATGTGGTACACCACATCGTCATCCGCGGACCACCGTTCACGGCACGACCTCGCCGACTGGTAGCGGACAAATTAGCCTTCACTAAACGTGAGTTTGACAGTTTACTAGCTACAGGTATTATTGGTCCTTCTCACAGTCCTTGGGCCTCACCACTCCTTATGGTTTGCACAATGGATGGGATAAGTTTAAGTCCATGTGGAGACTACCGAGCATTAAATGTTTCGATAGCTATCCCATCTCTTCAGTGCACGACTATCTATTCTAAGATTGATCTGGTACGAGCATATCTTCAGATCCCAGTCACTCTTGAAGATATCGAGAAAAATGAGATCACGACTCCTTTTGGTCTGTTTGAGTAAAATTTGGATTACAGAATGCTGCTCAAACCTTCCAAAAGTTATCAGTAGCATAGTACGAGACTTCGATTTTGTTCACGTCTATATTAATGATTTGCTAATCGCATCATCAAATGTATATGAACATTATCAACAACTTACGCTCTTATTCCAACGCCTTTCGGATAATGGAAAAGTAGTTAACCCAAACAAGTTTGAACTGGGCAAGGCAGGAATAAGGATCTTGGGTCACATCATTAGGCATGTGGGCATTCTACCTTGTGAAGATAAAGTACGTACACTCATGGAGTACACTGAACCGTCCTCACTCAAGGAACTGAAGGCTTTTCTCGGTTTGGTCAACTTCTACCAGCGTTTCATTCCTAACGCGGCGGAGCAGTCACGACCAATAAACGACTTACTCCGTGGTCATCCACACACCAGAATTCGTCAATGCCGCGCGTACTGCATTTTCTAAGATTCAAAAAGTTTTAGCTGAAGTCACGCTACCCGCCCACCCTGACCCATCAGCCACGCTTAGCATAGCAGTTGATGCTTCAGATTTCGCGATAGGAGGCGCTCTGCAACAAAACATCTCTGGAAGTTGGCAACCTCTCGAATTTTTCTCACGATGCCTTAGTCCCACAGAGACGAGATATAGCGCTTTTGGTCGCGAGCTGCTAGCAGCCTATTGTGCCATCAAACATTTCCGGCACTCAGTAGGTTGTAACTTTATCCTTTTTACCGATCATAAGCCTCTAACGTATGCTTTACATACCAAGTCTGACCGCTACTCACCACGAGAGTGCAGACATTTGAACTATATCTCTCAGTCCACGACAGACGTTAGTCACATTAAAGGCGAGTCGAACTATGTTGCAGATGCCCAGTCACGTATCCAAGTGGATGCAGTTACTTAACCGGTGCTTGATAACCCCACTATGACTGCCGCCGAAGCACGTGATTCCACCTGTCTGGGAGCACTACATTTTACATCCCTTCAGTGCCGAAAAGTACCACCAGCTACCAGCTCAGTTACTATCCTGTGTGAGACTTCTACTAGTCTTCCCCGACCCATCGTACTCTCTGTTATCATCGTCTCGTTTTCGATACTCTTCATGGACTATCTCATGCAGGTATCGCAGCCACTTTACGTCTCGTCGCTGCACGATACGTCTGGCCTTCCATGAATAAAGATGTCAGTATGTGGGTGAAGCAATACACACAGTGTCAACGATCGAAAGTGCACAGGCACGTAGCCGCCCCTATCGGCACGCTTTTACGTCTGATACCTGCTTCAATGATGTTTATATATATATGTTTATAGGACCATTGCCACCATCGCTTGGGTTTGGTCACATACTCACCTGTATTGATCGTTTCACAAGATGGCCCGAATCCATTCCCATCACTTCGATTACGGTGGAAACAGTTGCTCTCCGCCTCGCAGAACAATCGTTAGCGCAACGGTTATCCGTCGACTGTCACAATTGAACGAAGACAAAAGTTCGAGTCCGAATTATTCACCTCACTAACCCGGCTGCTTGGTACGGAGCCCATACGCGCTACCGCTCACCATGGTTTACGTTAGCGGCTTCATTACAAACTTAAAAGTGTTCTTCAAGCACACGAAAACAACAATAGGTAAGAAACCGTACTTCTCGTCCTCTTAGGTATCAGAACGAGTTTAAAGACAAATATTCAATGTACGGCACGACACTGCGTCTGTCTGGGGAATTTTTCACATCAAAGAGCAGTGATAACATTAAAAAATCAGACTGCATCCAACGATTGTCTGAATATATGCGAGTACTGCCTCCGGTGTCAACCCGAATAGAGCACCGACAGGTGGCTCTCTCCTGAGTGTTATCTACCTGTTCGCATGTTTTCGTGCGAGTGCTTTGTCAGAGAACATCAGTGTGACTATTATAGGTACAAAGAGAGAATTCTTCCTGACCATAATATGACAACCCTCTTGAAGTTATTCTTTTCTGTGTAGATTCTTTCGAGTGAGTTCACTTATTCCAGCCTTTGTCAGGATGTGTGTTCTCGAAATCTGTGTCCACGTTAGCAGCTAAAGCCGGTAATGAAAACGGAATGGATTTTCACGAAACACACGTAAGGGCACCAAATAGAAAGTACTGATGTGTACCAGTAAGCACCCCAAGGTCGATTACATTACAATCCGAATTTCCACCATTGCACTAATGCCGTCCCAGAATGTTTGTCAGCAGTCCCGGATAGTTCGCACAAAAACAACTACCAACAGAAGGCCTGTGATCACCGATATGTGAACTGTTCAGGCACTCACTAAAGACACACCAACTTCCAGCTGAATGAACAACTTACTATCCCTTCAATCTTCAAAGGAGGAGATAGGAAGGACCCAGAGTGTTACAGACCAGTCGCATTACTACCAATACTATCAAAGGTAATGAAAGGACTGCTTCCACCGAAAATTACCGGTGCACATAATATTTCTGGGCTTTAGAAAAGCCTTCAACACAGCACCTCACGCACGCCTATTTGTGAAGGTTGCGGATACGGGTTTCACTGACCCACTGCTATCTTGGGTCAGAAAATACCTTCAGAATAGAAAGTTTCGTATCAAGGTAAATAGAGTGCACGCGAGTTCACGAGTCTCAACATCGGAAGTTTCACAGGGGACCATCTTAGGTCCACTTCTCCTGATATTTATTAACCAAATGTTAGACACAGCTAGCTCACGGTCATTGATCTACGCAGACGAAATGAAGAGGATTTAACTGAGATTGAAAAGGACTTTACATGCAGTGAGGAAAGGGCGGTGGAAAACGGTATAAAACCAGACCCGTCGGAAAGTCACGCAAATGATTTGCATCCTCAGTGGAAGTCCATTTCATAAGATCTCAGAGCGTGATCTCAGTTTTATAACCACTGAAAGCCTCCACACTAGCACGAACTATATAGGAGACGCAGCCAAAACTAATGCAACTCTTCACTTTAGGTGAAGACAACTTAGTCCCTTCATCCCAGAATAATTCTCGACACTGTTTAGGTCATATGCATGCCCACACCTGGAGGTTCACAACGTCATCGCACCCCTTTTCCTTAAAAGATACATAAATCTCTCGGAACGAATGCAGAGACGAGCAAAAAAAACGAGTGATATGGTTGAAAAATAAAACTTACGAAGATAGACTTAGGCATTCTGGATTATTCCTCTTGAGTTACAAGAGAATCAGAGGTCACCTCATTATGGCCTGCAACATATTAAGCATGTCAAACCATCCCAACGTGAGCACTTTACCGATGCATCACCATCACTCCTCTAGAGGCACTCCTCGAAAAATCGCACGCCGAAGAGCGAATACTCAGGTTCGTGCACACTTTTTCTCATTAAGAGTCGTTACAGCTTGCATAGCTCTCTAAGCTGATGTGACCACAACCCTCAGAGGACAGATTTAAGAAGAGACTTGGTAAACACGTACTCACGGACAAGTTGTGCCTGGTGAATGTCTTGAAACATTCTAGTTGTTCTTATTGCCATCCCCTCAGTTCACCGACTTAATTTTAACGCTTATTATATCCGTTTTCTCTCCCTTGCTTACACTTCGGTCCTCTCGCGCAATCTTCATCACGAATTAGTAAACTGAAATATCCATTATTTACTTAGTTCTGGAATCCTCTTATTAGCATCAGAATTTTCTGCTTATTATTCTCCACATTGCAACCAACTGATTTCCGGTCTTTTAATTTGATAGCTGCTGGTATCCGGAAACCCTGCTACCCTGAAACAAACGCATTCATCCAAATCACGGGACATATAAACTCACGAATAGCTGCCAAAATTAGACGGCCAAGTTGCTGAAAACTACCAAACACCTAGAACCGTATCGAAATAACAAGAATCGAGCGCAAATAAATCACATTTCTTATATTAATTTGTGAAAAAGATATATTGATAATTGGATCTTCGTTGGTTCATCCCTATTCATAGTCTACAATCCAAGTTGTTGTCAAAAAAGAATATATAAAACTAAATAACTGTTATTTTATATTACTCAAACTATACTATTTAATCTTTTTGTGGTTCTACTGCTTGTACTATTACGACAAACTTTTGAATCTTACGGTATGTGTGGGGATTTGAAATGCTTTATAGCGCTGTCGTGCTTATCGTGTGGTTAACACGAGAGTGTACATCCTTACCTATCGAAACGTATGTAATTACAAAGTCTTCATGATAGAAATTGGATTTTTAAAACATCTGTACTTTATTAAAACTTCTTACACGTTCCTCATTGATGTTTCATATAAAGTGTACATATTTATATATTATTAGCATCTTTTTCTCGTAAATACCGGGTCAGATATCTACACTCATTCGTTAGCTTTCATAAATCTTTAAATTTTATTGAGTAGGAATAAAGTTATCCATTTCTGACTTCACGACTAGTGCTTTGTCTGTATCCTCATCCTAAGGTTGTGTATATGACAATCGAATAAGAATATACGATTTAGGGGTTGGAAGTGTTAGTGTACATACTCGCAAGAAAATTTTCGAATCCAGATCGTATTTATATCGAATCAGAGCGATCAGCTTCTGATATTAAACCCGAATGTTAACTTGTCGTTAGTGTATAACACACCATGCACACTGGGTTGCTGATGAAAAGACAGCATTTTAACTGGTATATAATTAATTTCAATCCTAATTAACCTTAAAAGATAAGGATCTACTAAAGTTTTATCGTCTAGTGTACAAGTTATTCTATTTCTTTTATCATACTAGTATTAAAATCAATCTTTCTGGGTGGCAATCCTACTGCTCATGCCTAGATGATACTGAGGATAAATTTTTACTACCACTCGGATGATTCTTCAACTAAGCTATCTCGACGGATGTTATGACACTTGTGCTAGTCCAAAGTCTAGACACTACAAACTATCGCAATAAGCAAAAGCGGAAACCTGCCTTTCATAAATAGTGTGATGGACAGTTCTCCCTGTATCTCTGTGCAGATCAAATGGATCTTTGGGACAATAATTATCAGTGCATCCATATGTCCGCATTCGAAGGCTTCATATTTCATTTAGTTACTAGTTGTGTGAACACATACACGAATCCTGCCTTTTTAGACAAGCTTTTTCAATGTCGATAATCCTCTTGTTTGTCTGTGTATATGCCACTCACCGATTTTGGTGATTTGTAAATGCACAGATAAATGGAAATAATCAAATTCTTGGTATTGACTTCAGTAATCAAATTCAAAACTTAGTCAGATTCAAGGCTGATTGCCATTCCTTTGGATACGAACGGTGACCAGGAAGGGATGAAACAGGATTAGTCTTCAACGTTCTTGGTCATGTCACCTCATGTTATATCAGCATGGCGAAAGAAAATTAACAAATTGAAAAATAAGAATGTAAAATGAGTACTCTGGGCATTGGTAACAAATTATTATTTTCTGTCGATGATAACTTAGACTAATTGAACTAGTCCTTGGATATATGCGAAACGTGTTTGCTTAATTTTTTGTATGAAAGTTTTCAATATAGCGATGGCGACCATTTATTTTTCTGAATAGATTTATCTTATGTTACAGTATCAGACTAATTAAACTTAGTAGCATATATATGACTACAGAGAAAACCACATGACAACCGATTAATCATATTTTGTAAACGTTATTCGTATCGCTCTATTTAAAGTTGAAAAGGAAGCCAATTTCATAAAAACATCCGAGTTTTCCCATCAAGGCTTTTGAGCATTCTTTATTCGGCGATCCTTTTTTTGGGAAGTATGGAATGTCTCATTACATACTCCTTTTTTCTATCAATTCGCATTTTTTTCTTGACCATTTCATAATAGTAATGAGTTTATTCAATATATAATTTTATACTTTATCGCATACAATACATTATCTAAAAATTAATCTTGAACAGTTATGCAAATTTCGATAAAAAATTCTTTTTTTTGACATAGTGTTTTCCATAACTGGAATTTTTTTATTGACCAAAACGCAAACTTGATGCATTAGTGCTTTTTCTCCGTGCGATCTATCTGTTTTTCAACTCGGATTTGGCAGAATGAAATATCATAAATTTTCAAAGAAAATGTACCGCTTAGCAGCTTGGCTATGGAATCGATCATTTAAATCGGTTATTGTGGAATTAGCCGCCATTGTGCTGTGTATATACTTTATTTTTCATTTCACTACTAACTATGTATCTGAGATTGTACAGATGTCTCAATTGACTAGTGATCTTCAACAATTATCAAGTTCTTTAGACCAACACGTAAGTTAAATCCTATTTCAGTTGATAGTTGTCATCATTATGTAAACTAAAGAGCACAAAAATCTTTTGATTCTGAAATAAACTAAAACTGTCATATCCTAATTATTAGGTTTTGGCTGCTCATCAATAACATGTCTGTTATGAAATTTGAAGGTCTTAAGTTCTATTTCAAAGTATAAACACAAGCTACCACGTGGGGACACGATAGTTCTAAATAATTTAATACAGCCCCCGACTTTCCATTTGAACGTCTATTCATTATATTAAATATATTAAAGTAATAAATAAATGTATATTTAGTTCGGATAGTGTTACATAAAATGAAAGACCGGAAGATGCTGTTGTAGAGCTTTGACACACTAGGGTTTGTTATTGGTCGAAAAATCTTGGAAACTTTTGTTGAACGCCTCCATTATTTAACACATTTGTTTTGTTTTAAATGTAAACTTTAGTGGTAGTAGACTTATAAAAGCAGTTAATGCTTGGACATCGGTTTGCTCTAAATATGATGCTGAACAGTAGTTAAGCCCTTTAGGTATTCAGTAGAACCCATGTAACCAATAATTTCTATCATTAATAAAATGCTAGACCATAAGACTATTTATATAACTGCGAAGCGTTAACGAAGTGTCGACAAAGAAATCACTCTTAAAATTTTCATATCCTTATTGATATTCCTAACCATTTCTCAGAAAACATATTACTCTAATATTCTTTTTCACAACATATTCTTAACAAAGTACTGATGCTAAAATATTTGTATGTATTTACCGTAAAACGTGGATGACAGAGGACAACAAATAAATGAGAATGCTTTTACAATATTATGGAAAAATAAACGATAAGACGGATTACATGATCAATACAAGTAGTTACTTTAATTATATGAAAGTTTTTTCGTCTAATATTTTGTAATTCATGAATCGAAAGGGATAAAAATCACTAGTTTAGACTGGAGTAAAATCGATCGAGGTTAACTTACATCGTTATACCCTTAACCGTAGAAAAATTAATCATTGAAGTCAGTTAAATGAATACCCTGAATGTAGGTTTCATGTTACTCAGTACTCGTCAAAGAAATGTTTGTGTAGACTCCTAGGAGCTGATGTTTATTATTGGATTTTACCCCATACCTTTCAGTGTCAATCAGAGATGTTGCTAATGGGCTATTCAAATTGAGGCCGACTGTACCGCTACCTTGACGTGGTGGTGTCCAACTAAACGGGACCGCAGGGACTCGGAAAGATAGGGACACTCGCCGTTGCCTCTTCGTTGTATCTGTTTACCCTCCAACTGACTGCAGTTCAGACGAGGTAAAAGATGAGTTTTACAGAAAGCTTTCGCACCTCCTTCAAAATTTAAGCGCTCTGATATAGTAATAGTTGCTGGTGACTTCAATTCTCAAGTAGGTAGACTGAGTGAAAATGAAAGACACCTGGGTGGATCTTATGGTGTCAAGGCTCAAAGAATAGATAATGACAACCGTCTGCCACAGCTATGCTCAGATACCGACCTGTATCTAGCAAACACTAAATTTAAGCACAAGGAAAAACATCTTTTGACATAGTGAACCCAAAGTCGTCTCAACTATGATGGACCCAAGTAGATCACATCGCCATCAGCCACTGATGGAGGGGTTCGATAGAAGGCTGTTGCTCGTTCTCAGGCACATGTCTAGATGAAGATCATGCTCTAGTGTGAGTGCGTATTTGTTTACGGCTTATTGGACTCCTCAACAAAACCTCTTAGGGTTCTATCTAATGACCGCATAGCTAAGAATATATTTCAGGAGCGACTAGAAAAACAGTTAGGTGGCCATGTAAAAGATTCACATCCCATGGCAGCTTGAAATAATATCCGAAAAGCTGTGGAAACAGCAGTGATATCTTCTAGTAAGGTAAACCATAAGGTTAAGGAGAAGCGGTGGATTTCAGTAGCATCCACCGAACTGATAGACGCACAAAAACTCATCCCATCTGACTCTGATTATGACGAAGAGCGAAGTCAGCTTAGGCGCAAGCTGATAAAGAGCCTACGTAATGATCGCAAACAGTGGTGGTAGCGAAATCAAAAGTGATGAAAAAGGCTGCAGCAATACGTATCAGTAGACAACTGTTCCGCCTAACCAAGGAAACGAGTACTAGGAATCAATCTGTTAGCGAAACTATCTCAGAATAGGATGGTTGTATCATTCATTCTCAACCCAGTAGATTGGATCGATGGGCAGAACACTTCAGGGATAAATCCATATGGCCTTCAGCCACACTTCGGTTGCCCACGGTCTCCAGTCAACTGTAAGTCCTCCGACTCATAATGAAGTTGAGAAGGCTATAGGAAATCTGAAGCGAGGGAGAGCAGCAGGGTTTGACAGGCTTAACACTGAGATTTTGAAGGATGGTGGTGCAGTTTTAGCAATCAGATTAACTGAAATCTTAGGTATAATCTGAGAACTGGGCATAATCCCATCTGACTAGTCTTAATCGCTTATTGTCCCAGTCTACAAAAAAAGACAAAAGTCCTCTTGAGACAAACACAGAGGAATATGTCTAAGTAATATAGTATCGAAAATACTGACCTCAATGATAATCCAACGCCTAACTAGAGCTCGTGAGGAGCAGACTAGAGAAAACCAGGCTGGTTTCAGACCTGGACGTGCATGTATAGACCACATATTCACACTGCGTCAGGTCCTAGAACAAAGACACGTTCTGACGCCCCACAATAGTATTTCTGAACCTTAAGGCGGCATCTGACTCTGTTGATGGTGAGGTTCTGTGGCAGTGTCTGACATTAAGAGGTTGTACCAGAGAAGTACACTAACCCTATACAAGCTCTATACTCCAACACTAGTGGTTGAGTTAGAGCTTTGTCATAGACATGCCTCTAGAGTTAATTTTATCTTCGTTTGACTTTTCAGGAGTAGATCTTCTACCAGGAGACACTTGTTGACCTAGAATATGCCGATTACACAGATCTATTCTAAAAGCTGACGAAATGCAGGGTCTTTTGACAAACCTGAGCAGCAATGAATGCATGTTCGGGATTCGGTTTTCCCCCTCGAAATGCAAAATGTTGCTTCAAGATTGGCTTGTATCGACACTAGTGACAAGTAGTGAAGCGTGTTAACCGCTTCACTTATCTCGGGAGTCTAATCAATGCTGATGGCCTGGTGATTGACGAAATCTCAGCACGGATACAGAAGACTCAATTAGCTTTCGCCAACTTGCAGCACTTATAGCATGGGCGGGATGTCTGTCTGCCAACCAAAGGACGATTGTACTGCTCAGAAGTTCGCTCCGTCCTACTATATGGATGCGAAACATGACCGGTAATAGTAGAGGACTTCCGTAGGTAATTAATATTTGATTATAGATATTTTCGAAGCATTGCTTGTGTATCCTGGGACAACCGAGTAAGCAATGCTGTCGTTAGGAAACGAGTACTAGGTAAGGATGGCAGGTTAAGAGATGAAACATTGAAACTTCATGAGTTGAGGTGGTTGGGACATTTGTTGAGTATGCTCAACCACCGACTGCCTGGACGAGCTATGTTTTGTGGTGTAGGATTAGGTTGAAAGAAAGCCAAACTAAAACATGGCAGAAATCCATCAAGTCACTGACTGGTGGAGTGAGTCATGTTGGTAGATGTAGGCTACCTGGTTGTTGTTCTCGCGACGAAAGTAATCAATGGTTAGAGACCTAAAATGACATAGTTCAAAATAGTTTGTAATCTCGCAGATGCATCCATTCTTTATGTTCTCTCATATTCTAATCTTCTGAGTTCCTCATCACCTTTATCTTTCTCTTTTTAAATTTATTTCAGTGAATACTTTTTTGAATAATATCTTCGAACCCTAATCTTCTCCAATACCGCTAATACTTCTGCTGCATCTACCACTATGGGATTCGAATTGATAGTTGCGTCTCTGTGCTAATGTGGTATGGCAACCTGAACTTATATAAGTACGAACAAATTCCTACGTTGTAACTGACTGACTGGCCAAAACTTACGACCACAAAGAAACTTGAACGATATAATACGATCAAGGCTGTGAACTAGACAAACATGATATTGACCATACATAATTCAGTGTACAGTCGCTGATAATTGAACCTGCTGAGGTTCATACACACATAATATTTCTATAATCCCCAAACAAGCTTTGTATTTATATTAATTCAGTATATTATCTTCAGTCTCGATTGTTTTTATAACCACTTTTCCATTAAAGCAATAACCAAGGATAATTCTTAAATTTCATGAAGTTCTTATGAGAAAAAAAGTCCTGTTGTGATTTTATTCGTTTCATATTTACTTCTGAAATGATGTTTTGTAGCCCACATTAATGGTTTTGGCCCTGTTGTGTTCTTTGAGGTTCAGTAGTTTTTTTGTTTCAAATCTCTCATTGCTGTTTGGGCAACAGTAGCGCTTACTTTACGTACAAGTAAGCTGCTTAATGCTATCAAAGTACCGAATTCACCTGTTTTGATGACCTTGTCTGTTAATAATCGTCTCTGAGGTTTTCGCCAGCTACATTTACTGATATCTGCTTGTTAACTGTTTTATTCAATTGACCTCTAGTCTAATGATTAGTGACTCTCTTCCAGTTAGGTTGGTAAATAAAATCGATCCCAATTAATATATATATCGATTCCAAACTGATTCAAAATGCTTTGTTTCTGGAAATTCTCTGTCATTCTTTGAACTTCCTCAATTCGAATTTGACATCTTAACAAAATCGTGTCTGTAGTTGTCTCTGTGCATTTACATAAGCAACGATATTTCGTGTGGTTTTACTGTTAGTTTGATGTTGTTGTATGAGTAGATAAAAGAAGCAATCACTTTTTCTGAACAAATGTTAGTCTAGGAAGTACTTTGGTTCTAAAGGACTTGAAAGTCCCTCTGATAGCTTCTGAAATGCTTATCACGTGTTTTCTGATTTATAGGGATAATTTTGTGCTAACTTGTCAACTTGCTAGAGACGTTTTTGATGAATTTTTTCAAGAAAGTTATTTTTACTTGAGATCGACAGAAGGTGATCTGTTTGTAAATTCCTTCATTCATTTGGAAGGAAGGAAGATATAGATCAGTTAATCCTTGCCATTCCAGAGATTACCGTTCACAGAAAAGGTCATTAAAACAGGTGAATTTATTGTCGATAGAGTAATTAAACATCTCATTTTTACATGAACTAAGCGTTAAAGGTTTCACCTACAACAACAATGAAAATTTCAATTATTCAGTCCAGAAAGTAAAACAAAATCAACATATTTATTTCTGTTCATTACATGATAATTATAATAATAAAATTTTAAACATACTTTGTTCTTAGAGCAATAATAACCTAGGCACATACTACTACTACTACTTTCAATTCTATTTCATATGTAATAAATTATTTTTTTTGTCTGTTTATCTCAAAACTACAGATATTGTTACAAATGAAACTTTATTCAAAAATGAAGAAAACGGAAATGTCACCTGAAAAAGTTACCATTCCAATTTTAGTCATAGCTTGTAATCGTCCCACTGTTAATCGTCCAATTGATAAACTATTACAACTGAGGCTTGAAATGATGAATCGTCATAGTTTTGAATTTCCGATTTTTGTTTCTCATGCTTGTGATGACGATGCTACTGAAAAAGTCCTTCGTTCTTATTACAATAAGATTACTGTTATAAAACCGAAAGCTCCGTTAATTACTCCAGGTAAAAGTTTTGAATTTATAACAATATATTGTTCAGTTTGTTGTAATGTTTTATCATATAGTTCAACTTGACTAAATGTATTCCAGTAAATAGTTCTCATTAGGTTGGTGTTGTTCTGTAATGGGCCTTTTGAAGAAGATGAATGTCGACTCAAGGTCTCTCGACTGACGTCACTTAGTACGCAACAACGTAGAACTTAGTATGTACGTACATTAGTTCAAGTTGCCATACTGCATTAGCACAGAGAGATGTTAGGAGATGTTGGAAGGATTTAATGTTGGTCAATTTGATCTCGTGTGTTGTTACGGGTATGAGAGCGGATGTAACTTCCCGGCTGCTTACACTGACAAGTGGACTGAGTCATATTGGTAGATGTAGACTACCTGGTTGGGGTCCGCGAGACGAAAGTCACAAATGATTAGAGACCTTGAACGACATGGTTCAAAATCGTTTGCAATGGTGCAAGTGCGTCCATTCGTTGAGCACTCTCAAATCCTAATCTTCTGGAATCGTCAGCACTTCTACCCTTGTCTTCCTAACCTTATCTCACTGAATTGTACTTCTTGAATAATATCTTCAAATCTTAGTCTTCTTCATTACCATTAATACCTCTACTATCTTTATCACTATGGGATTTGATTTGACATTTACGTCTCTGTGCTAATGTGGTATGAATTATTTTTTCTGGTTAGCGTTTTTTTTGGCAAGTTAGTTTTTGACGGAATGGGGTCGCCAACCCCATGTCCAACCCTCCTCCTTTACCCGGGCTTGGGACCGGCAGTAGCCCCGAAGGTTCTACTGGCGAAGCAGCATCACAAGGAATGGATCTCTGTTGATACTCTCGCAAAAATTGAAGAAAGGAGGAACAAGAAGGCAGCAATCAATGTCAGCCGAACAAGAGCAGAGAAAGTTACCGCACAAGCTGCATACACAGAAGCAAACAGGGAAGTGAAGAAGAGCATCAGAGCTGACAAACGAAAATATGTGGAAGATCTAGCAATGACGGCGGAAAAGGCTGCAAGAGAAGGAAACTTGAGACAATTGTACGAAACAACAAAGAAGCTCGCCGGGAACTATCGTAAACCAGAACGACAAGTGAAAAACAAGGAAGGCAAAGTAATCAGCAACACTGAACAACAGCGAAATAGGTGGGTAGAGCACTTTAAGGAACTCCTAAATCGACCAGCTCCTCTGAAGACACCCAACATCGAAGCAGCATCCACGAATCTCCCAATTAATATTGGCACACCTACGATTGAGGAGATCAGTATGGCCATCAGACAAATCAAGAACGGCAAAGCAGCAGGACCAGACAACATTCCAGCAGAGGCAATGAAAGCAGATGTAGAAGCAATTACGAAAATGTTTCACATCCTCTTCAAGAAGATTTGGGATGAGGAACAAGTACCATCAGATTGGAAAGAAGGATACCTGATCAAAATACCAAAGAAAGGCGATCTCAGAAAGTGTGAGAACTACAGAGGCATCACTCTTCTTTCAATACCAGGCAAGGTCTTCAACAGGGTATTGTTAAACAGAATGAAGGACTTCGTAGACGCCCAACTTCGAGATCAACAGGCCGGATTTCGTAAGGATCGATCGTGTACTGACCAAATTGCTACATTACGGATGATTGTGGAACAATCAATTGAATGGAACTCACCACTCTACATCAACTTCATCGACTACGAGAAAGCATTCGATAGCGTGGACAGGAAAACACTGTGGAATCTTCTTCGACACTACGGTGTGCCTGAGAAAATAGTTAACATCATACGGAACTCTTATGATAGATTCAACTGCAAAATCGTACACGAAGGACAGCTAACAGACTCCTTTGAGGTGAAGACCGGTGTGAGGCAAGGTTGCTTACTCTCACCCTTTCTCTTTCTCCTGGTGATCGACTGGATTATGAAAACGTCAACATCTGGAGGGAAGCACGGTATCAACTGGACAATTAGGACGCAGCTGGACGATCTGGACTTCGCAGATGACTTGGCTCTTCTATCGCACACTCAACAACAAATGCAAGAGAAGACGACGAGTGTAGCAGCAGCCTCTGCAGCAGTAGGTCTCAACATACATAAAGGAAAAAGCAAAATTCTCCGATACAACACAACATGCACCAATCAAATCACTCTTGATGGGGATGCCTTGGAAGACGTTAACACCTTTACATATCTGGGCAGCATCATCGACAACCAAGGTGGATCTGATGCAGATGTGAGGGCACGGATTGGCAAAGCGAGGGCTGCATTTCTACAGTTGAAAAATATCTGGAACTCCAAACAACTTTCAACCAAAACCAAAATAAGGATTTTCAATACAAATGTCAAGACAGTTCTACTGTTTGGAGCGGAAACATGGAGAACTACGAAAGCCATCATCCAGAAGATACAAGTATTTATTAACAGTTGTCTACGCAAAATACTTCGTATTCGTTGGCCAGACACGATCAGCAACAACGAACTGTGGGAGAGAACAAACCAGATTCCAGTGGAGGAGGAAATCAGGAAGAAGCGGTGGAAGTGGATAGGACACACTCTACGAAAAGCACCTAACTGCGTCACGAGACAAGCTCTCACATGGAACCCTCAAGGCAAAATGAAAAGAGGAAGGCCAAAGAATACATTACGCCGAGAAATAGAGAAAGATATGAGAGGAATGAACAAACATTGGACAGAACTGGAGAAAGAAGCCCAGGACAGAGTTGGTTGGAGAAAACTGGTGGGCGGCCTATGCTCCATTGGGGGTAACAGGCGTAAGTAAGTAAGTAAGTAAGTAAGCTAATGTGGTATTGCAACATGAACTTATATGTACATACGTACGTAGTTCTACGTTTCAACTGACTGACTGACTGCTTAGACCGTGGAAGGGAACTTAATAATTTTCTCATATCTATATTTCTTTATATATAGCATATATATACATACACTGATATACAAAGCTGCATTAAAATGTGAACTATCATACAACTGCTATTATCTGAAGACGTGCTAAAACAAGTTGTACAAGATTCATTTTTTAATGTGTTAGCTGGTAAAACTAATCATATGTAATAATGACAAAACAACTTTTATCCAAAAAAAATGTTTTTGAAATGTAATTTGAAAATATTACTTTGTCTTGTATAAATAACTCAATCTCATCATGTTATGGATTAAATTGCTAAATTTAATTATTTATTGAAATGCTCATAATGATATCCACATTCGTTTTTTTTCTATCGTAATCTGTTGTCAATGTAGATTTTTTTTTCTTAGAGGGTTACTTAACCATCATGCAATAGGCAATTGTAATTTTGTTGTGTGTGTGTGTGTGACGCCTATCGCTGACATCGACTATTTTCATTTTTATTTATTTTTTATTTAATTAATCAATGGAAATTAATTAATTAGTTAATTAGATGTGCATGATTTAAATGTTTTTGTTTAATTATTGTCTTTCAATATTTCTTCATGCTGCTACTACTACTATATATCGTGGATAGGTCAACCGTCTACTGGTAAAGTGATTGAAGGTTATCGACATGTTAGTCATCATTATAAATGGGCATTAGATCAAATATTTATGGCATATAATTATTCAACTGCAATCATTGTAGAAGATGATCTAGATTTGGCACCAGATTTTTTAAATTATTTTATCAGTATGTATAATATTTTACTTCAAGATAATACACTATTTTGTGTATCTGCGTTTAATGACAATGGATTGTTGCAGTTGATTGATATTAAACGTCCTGATTTACTTTACAGGTTAGTGGCTAGTATTATTATTATTGTTTAATTTTTTTGTGGTATTCTATATAGATTATGCCATAATATTTAGTTTTTATTTTTTTTTTAAAAAAAGCATTTACAAATTCAATCAATCAACAGCAACGTAGAACTTTGTGCGTACGTACGTAGGTACATCAGTTTAAGTTGCCATACTACATTAGCACAGAGATGTAATTGTCAAATCAAAGCCCATAGTAGTAGGGGTAGTAAAAGTATTAGCAGTAATTGGAGAGATTAGGGTTCAAAGATGTTATTCAAGAAGTAGAATCTAGTGAAAGCTGCTTAAAAAGAAAATGATAAGAGTGATGAGGGACTCCAAAGGTTAGGATTTGAGAGAACACAACGAACGGATGCACCTGCGCCACTGCAAACGGTTTTGAGCCATGTCATTCAAGGTCTCTAACCATCAGTGACTTTCGTCTCGCGAACCCCAACCAGGTAGCCTACATCTACCAACATGATTCAGTCCACTTGTCAGTGACTTGATGGATTTGTGCAATGTTTTGGTTTGGCCGCCCCTTGCTTTCGTCCAACCTATTCCTATGTCGTAAAATATAGCTCGACGAGGCAGTCGGTGGTTAACCATATGCAACACATGTCCCAACCACCTCAACTCATGAAGTTTCAATGTTTCATCTCTTGACCTGCCATTCTTACCTAGCACCCGCTTCCTAACAACAGCATTGCTTACTCGGTTGTCCCATGATACACGAGCAATGCTTCGAAGACACCTTTGATGGAAAACCAGTAACCGACGAATATCTTCTACTCTCACTGGTCATGTTTCACAGCTGTAAAGTAGGACGGAGCAAACTGCTTCACAGTGCACTCATCCTTTAGTCAACAAACGGATATCTCGTTTAGCATTTACAAATTACGATAATATATTCTGTTCTATAGAGTTTTAGCTTACAAAAATTGAAATGCATGTGATAATTTTGTTTCTAAAAAAACAAGTAAAACTGCACTTATGATTTTTTTTATCAACTTTTGTTATCTAATAATTCATAGCTATAGATTAAAGTGTCGATAATTTAGTAAACTTAAAAAATTAAATACAACTTGTTGATTTAGTAAAACTGTCTACGGAAGTTTTATAGAATATTCGGATTTATACTGTTGTCTCACACTAGAAAAAATAATTTGTTTTTTTAATAATGCAAAGTAATTGAAAGTAAGGTCATGAAGGAACCTCAAATTATTTTTACATTGAAATATTCTACATGAAAAACAATGAGTCATCTAGACTAGTTGTTACATTGCAACTCGGTCGATAAGATTCGATCAGGATTGAATAATCGATCAATCTGATATGCGTTATTAATCATTGATCGATCAGGGAAGTTGTTTGCATATATATATATATATATATATATATATATATATATATATATATCAGTATTTGATTGTAAAAGTCAGTCAGTCAGATGCAACATAGATCTTCGTACGTAAGTGCATCGGTTCATGTTGCCATACCACATCAGCACAGAGATATACTTGTCAATTCAAATCCAATAGTAGAAGAGGTAGTAAATTATTAGAAGTAATCGGAGAGGTTAGGATTAGAAGATATTATTCAAAAAGTATGATTCATTATGATTTTAACAAGAAACGTATCCATTAAAGTATAATGTGTTGAAGAACGTTTCAGTTTTAAATTACATGCCAACTATCAAGTTTATGCATATTTTAACATGTTAGCTAACATCAACAAGTCTGGTTTACAGAAACATACATGTATTGATCTCAGTACCATGTTGTCGGTTTTAGACGGCCTTTAAACTCGTCACTTTCAAAACAGGGACCCTGGTCAGTTAATATCATTTTCGGTATTCCGTGGCACGCTACAATATGCCGGATCACCACTTCGGTCACTGTTCTTGCCCGCTGGTCTGCAATAGGTACAGCATCTATCCAACGTGTAGCATGCTCCGTCATCACTAGCAGGTACCGGTTACCGGTCGCCGTCTGTGGAAACGGTCCCATTATATCCACCGACCATAGAAGCGAATATTTGGCAGTTAATAATAGAAGAGATCCGTGTATTATTATACAGTTTGTGATAAGGTCGATCATGAATCTCGTGCAGATATAACTATGTGAATGACTCAGCTAACCATTTTGTTGCTTAATATTTGCACATTTTTTGAGTCATCGAGCAAATGATTTTGTCGTGATAAACAGGCCAGTGAGTTTTAGAAATAATCTGTATATTGGCATTGCAACATATCAGACTTTATAACTTAACCATTTATTGATTTGAAATAATCTATTTTATTAATGACTAGAGAAAATACTTTTTTTCCATGCACTTATGAGATCGATTCAAATCCATGATGTTAAACTCATGATATTTGCTCTAATAAATCAAATGAAGTTTACTCTTTAGATATTATTTTTAATGAATGTAAAGTTCTATATTCTGCTTTATTTGTTATACCTTTCTAACTATTAGAACTGATTTCTTTCCTGGTTTGGGTTGGATGTTATTACGAAATTTTTGGTTAGAAATTCGTGAAGGATGGCCTGATGTTTATTGGGACGAGTATATGCGTAAACCGTATGTACGTAAAGGTCGAGCTTGTATTCGACCAGAAATTAGTCGTTCTGTAACATTTGGTCGAATCGGTATATCACAAGGTCAATATTTCGATAGTCATTTAAGACATATCAAATTAAGTAGTGTGAAAATTAATTTTCAACACATTAATTTATCCTATTTAAAAGAATCTGTTTATCGTAATCAATTTCATCGATCAGTTTATCAAGATTCCATCGAAGTGAGTATTCAATCTTACATGAATAATGCGAATTCTATACCGAACAATTCCAAATCGTCTATTCGTATAACTTATCGAGCTCGAGAAGAATTTGAAACAATTGCAAAACATTTAAAAATGATGTATGATTTTAAATGTGGTGTTAGTCGTAATGCTTATATGGGTGTGGTACCAGTTTATGTGAATGGTCACCGGTTGTACATTGCACCACCATCCAATTGGTCAGGTTATATTGAATCGTGGGTATAGTATTAGACATGTTTATTATTTGGTCTATTATTCTATTTTGCAAAAAAAAAGTTATTTTCTATTGTTTCTTTTGACTGATTATTTATCTTAACTTTTATTTTTCAACTATTTGCCTAAGTCTATTATTTCTAAAGTGATCAGAATATGAATGAATGAATGAATGAGTGAGAATGCACATTGTTCTAATTTATGCAAATGTATGTATATATATATAGATATATGTGTATCTGTTGTTAAAGAGACAAGGAAGTGGAGCATGTTTGCTATTTGTTTGCATCAATTATTATGTCTTTCAATTATTATTTCCAGTGCTCTTCCATTGTCTTGTGGTTTTTTTTAAAAAAAGGAAAAAATCGATATACATGTATGTAGCAATAGTATTATTATTATCAGTAGTAGTGGTATTGTGTCATCAAATGGTTCCTTAAGTTTTCAAAACTGACTTGTCCGCCTGTACTTTGATGATGATCACTGAGAACAAACACTCTTCTACAGAAAAAAAACAAGTGTACATATCTGTTTGTGATTGCTTGTTTGTAAATTGTTATTATTATTATTATTACTAGTATCTTGTAACATCAATGGAAGCAAATACAACAAGAGAGAAGAACAAACTAGAATGTGTGTGACAATGTTGTATATTTTTTTTCTTCGTTTCTCTCTCTCTTTAATTTTCTTCTACTTATTTGTCTTAATTTCTTGACTAAGTAAGATTATAACTTGTTAGATTTTTTTGTGGACAAAAAACCAAGAATGTGTTCTTATACATATATAAAAATCTATTTTTCATGAGATTTTATATAAAGTAGAATTGTTGTTAAATTTGTGTTCATTTGTGGTTGGGTGTGTGTGCGTGTAAGTGTAAGTGTACGTGTACGTTTTTCAATGACTTGTGAAGTAAACAAAAGGTTGGATATTATTGATTTTGTGTTTATTATTATTCATTGAATACTGCAATAGTAGTACACGATAATTAATTCATGGCTAAACTAGTCAGTCAGATGCAACGTAGAACTTTGTACGTAAGTGCATCAATTCATGTTGCCATACCTTATCAGCACTGAGATATAATTGTCAATTCAAACCCAATAGTAGAAGAGGTAGTAAAGGTATTAGAAGTAATCGGAGAGGTTAGGATTAGAAGATACTATTCAAGAAGTATGATTAAATGAGAAAAGTTTAGAAAGTCAAAACTAGGGGGGTTGAAGAATCCAGAAGATTAGGATTTGAGAGAACATAAAGAACAAATGCACCGGCGCCATTGCAAATAGTTTTGAGCCATGTCATTCAAGGTCTCTAACCATCGATTATAATCATCTCGCGGACCCCAATCAGGTAGTCGACAACTATGGACATGGCTCAGTCAACTTGTCAATGACTTCATGGATTTCTGCCATGTTTTGGTTTGGCCGCCCCTAACTTTCTTCCAACCTATTCCTACACTACAAAACATAGCTCGTCGCCGCAGTCGGTGGTTAGCCATACATAACACATGTTCCAACCACGTCAACTGATGAAGTTTGACTACTTCGTCAACCTTACCTAGTACTCGTTTCCTAACGACAGCATTGCTTTTACGGTTATCCCAGGATACACGAGCAATGCTTTGGAGACATCTATGATCGAAGTCTAGTAACCTAAGAAAGTCCTCTACTCTTAACGGCCATGTTTCAGCCATAAAGTAAGACGGAGCAAACTACTGCGCAGTACACTCTTCCTTTAGTCAGCAAACGGATATCTCGCCTGCGCCATAGATGATGCAGGTTGGCAAAAGCCAATCGAGCCTTCTGTATCCGAGCTCAGGTTTCGTCAGTCACCAGGCAGTCGTCACTGACGAGACTCCCCAGGTAAGTGAAGCAGTCAACACACTCCACTACTTCACTCCCTATCACTAGTTCAGGTGCCGATGCAACCCAATCTTGAAACAACATTTTGCATTTCGGCGGGGAAAATTGCATCCCGAACATGCTCGCATTGTTGCTTAGGGTGGTTAGAAGACTGCATTTTGTCAGCGTCTTCACCAAGTAGGACTATGTCATCGGCATATTCTAAGTCAATAAGCGAGCCACCTGGTAGAAGGTCTACTCCAGAAAATTCAGACGAGGATAAGGTTATTTCTAGGAGCATGTCTATGATAAAATTAAACAAGAATGGAGAGAGTGGACAGCCCTGACGGACACCACTTGATGTAGAGAATTCCGGTGACAGTTCGCCATAAGCTCTCACTCGACCAGTGGTGTTCGAGTAGAGAGCTTGAATAAGGTTAATGTACTTCTTTGGTACACCTTTCATTGACAGACACCGCCACAGAACCTCACGATCTGAGTCGAATGCCGCCTTTAGGTCGAGGAAAACAACTATTGTAGGACGCCTAAATGTATGTCTCTGTCCCAGGAACTGTCGTAGTGTGAAGATATGGTCTATAAAACAACGTCCAGGTCGAAACCCAGACTGGTTTTCTCGAGTTTGCTCTTCACGAGCTTCCGTTAAGCGTCGAAGTATTACTGAAGCCAATATTTTAGATACTATATTAGTTAGACTGATTCCCCTGTGATTGTCACAAGAAGACTTTTGTCCTTTCTTATAGATTGGGACAATCAGTGATTGAGACCATTCGGATGGGATTACGCCCAGTTCCCGGATCCTACCTAAGATCTCAGTCAACCTAGCTGCTAAAACTGGACCACCATCCTTAAATATCTCAGGGCTCAGTCTATCAGGTCCTGATGCTCTCCCTCGCTTCAGATTTCCTAACGCTTTCTCAGCGTCATTAAGACTAGGGGGATTTAGGTCGACTTGCCATTCAGGATGACTGGAGATTGTGGGTAACTGAAGAGTGGGTCGAGGCCAGTTGAACTGATCCCTAAAGTGTTCTGCTCATCGGTCCAGTCTCCTGTATTGAGAATGGATAATGAGACCATCCTTTTCCGAAATAGTCTCATTAACACTTGGGTTCCTAATACCAGTTTCCTTGATGAGTCTAAATAGTTGTCTACTGTTGCTTATCGCCGCTGCATTTTCCATCTCTCTCGCTTTCTCCACCCACCACTGTTCTCGATCATTGTGTAGGCTTTTTGTCAGCCTACGTCTTAGCTGACTCCGCTCCTCAGAGCCAGGCGGGATGAGTTTTCCAGCATCCATCAGTTCGGTAGATGCTATTGAGATCCACGGCTTCATCCTAGCCTTATGGTTTACCTTACTAGAAGATATAACTGCTGTTTCCACAGCCTTTTTAAAATCATTCCAACCTGCTTCTGGTTGGGAATCGCTTACATGGTTTCTTAACTCTGTTTCTAGTTGCTCCTGAAATATTTTCTTAGTTTGATTATCATTAAGTAAAACCCTTAGAGGCTTTCTTACGGTGACTTTCCTACGCCCAGTAAGCCTCAAACAAATACGAGCTCGCACTAGGGCATAATCTGAATCTAAACATGTGCCCCAGAACGAGCGACGGTCTTCTATCGAATATCTCCATCGGTGGCTGACGGCAATGTGATCTAGTTGGGTCCAACGTTGAGACGACCTTGGGGGTGTGGCCAGGTCAAAAGATGTTTTTCCTTATGCCTAAATTTAGTGTTTGCTAGAAATAGGCCGTTATCTGAGCACAGATGCAACAGACGGTCACCATTGTCTGTTCTTTTAGCCACAACACCATAACATCCACCTAGGTGTCTTTCATTTTCACTCAGTCTACCTACTTGAGCATTGAAGTCACCGGCCATTATAACTATATCAGAGCGCTTAACGTTTTGGAGGAGGTCCAGAAGCTTTCTATAAAGCTCATCTTTTACATCGTCTGGACTGCAGTCAGTGGGGGCGTAGGCTGATATGACCAAGAGGCAACGACGAGTGTCCCTATCCTTTCGAATCCTTACTGTCCCGTTTAATCGGACAACGCACAAGTGACTATCTACTAGGATCCAGTCTAGAAGAGATTGTTCAGCCCTACGACTCAATGCTATGCCTACGCCAGCAAGACCCCTGGAAGCAGCATCAGGGCTACCGGATACACGAAGGGTAAATCGAGCTGCTTCTTTATTTTGACAAGGTGAAATCAGATTAACAATTTTACTAGGATCCTGTATGCGCGTTTCCGAGACACAGCATACATCGATGGCACGAGATTTTAAAGTCCTAGCTAATGATGCCTTTTGCCCTATTTGACACACTGTCCGTACATCAAAAGCTCCAACATGTAGTCAGGAGACCAGGAATGACGTTTCGTGAACTCTCTTCATCTGCATTAGCGGTGCAGTGAGAAAAGGGACTGTGAGTAGAGTTCGTTGTGGAGAGAAGAGAGGTATGTGTGCGTGTAGGAAAGATTTGATTTCGACCAATTTGGTCTCGTGTGCTGTTACGGGTATGAGGACGATTGTCACTTCCCGGCTGCCCACACCGTGGAAGGTTGATTCTTGAGGGACCTGTAAAGGAGAATAGATTAGTGTTGGTCTCAGAGACCTGGTTGCATGACCGCAGAGCCCAGGGGACAACTGATGGAGGCCAGTCACGCACGGCCTTTTGATGAAAGGTTATTTTCGCTCCGCTCTTGAAAGCCCTTAGTGGGCACCCTTACCCAAGGAGACGGAAATCCGTGAGGTAATGTGAGGTGTGACATTTTTAGGGTTGACCTTTTCTAACCCTTCCTTCATTGTGAGAAGGCAGCATCGCTGCAGATGCTGGTTGTCCGAGGGAAACACCTTACTGTTGTCACACCTCTCTGCAGTCAGCAGTACGACTTCGCCCTCAGACGTTGAGTAGCTGCTTTTAGTCTCATCGTTCTCCAATCGACCTGCCTGTCATGATAGAACCTTCAGGAACATATGTTCCAGCCAGCATAGCTCGGTTGGGTCATCACTATAGGCGTGCCCGACCACCACGTCAAGGTAGCAGCTACGGTCGGGTGGCTAAACTAGTGAATTGTGAATAATGAACAGATGACATTTTGTTCAATTTTCTATTCATTCGATTAGTCAGTAAAGTACTAAAAATGTTTGAGTTTGATTAGATTGCAAGTATCTGAAGTCATCCATAATTGTCTGCTATTAACGTATCATTGTATAGCCTGTGTTGCATACAACCGGATGAAAAACACGTATGATTGAACGTATTCCGGATAATCTGACCCCTTTATTCCACCCATTTATCCAAACTGTTCAAAAAATTGATATTTTTCCTGTCGGTGTTGTGAACTATATTTACAGTTATAATCAGTGTAGAAATTTCACAGAAATGTGTATAGTTATTTTAGTCTATCTGCTAGATATATAACTATTTAGATTCTTACAGTGATTTAAGTTGAATGGCGAGAATAGTTAAACATGCTTAGTTCTCATTATTTAAGGAAACGATTTAAAACTATTAGTATAGTATTATTATGAATCAAAAGATTCTTGAACTTCCTTGAAACTTTACCCTGTAAACAACTTTTGGAAAAGTCTAATTTTGTAATGGTTATTATTCAACATTCAATTTGACAAAACTATTATTAAAAGTTGACAGTAGATATCAATGGTTATACCATATCTCATTTAAACTGTTTGAATAATTATAAATTTTCAATTGTTTCATTCAGTTTGTCGGTGATATAAAGGACGAAATTAATTTCAGCTAGCTTACCAATAATTCATTGGTTTTGAGTCACAAGACTTACATAAGTACAAAAGAGCGCTTCAAATCTTGTATCTTCCCGATTACTGCTCATACTTTTATTACCTCTACTACTATGGGATTTGAATCGATAATTGCATCTCTGTGCTTATGTGGTTTGCAACTTGAACTGACGTACGTAGGTACAAAGTTCGACGTTGTTGCTAAACTGAACTAAGCTGATGAGCGTAGTTATTCGATTGCTGTGTGGAAACTTTAAAGTTTGGTGATGTTACGTTCTCTGAGCTAGATTATTCATTTTCAAAGTATTCGTTTT